TAGCAACAACGTCTAGGTAACCCAGGCAATTGTGCACCATCCTTCTTTTCAACCAGTTTTATTCAAACCCTCCTGGAAGCCCAAAGAACCAGAAACAATTCTGGTTGTTCCCAGTTCTGGCACTGGCGCGCCATAGATCCTTCACAGCAATTAGTCCATCTAACTTTTTTCTCCAGTTAGATTCTCTGTTTGAAAAAGAACCTGTTTCCTGAGCTGGGTTTAACATGTTTTAACTAATTAGATGGTGTCCGCCATCTCCCCCACACAAAAGGTGTTACAGGTGCTCCACAGACTTCTGCAGGGACCCAGCCCTCACGTCCACGTCCCTCGCTTCCCCCTCCAAATCCCGAACCTCCAACCGCTTGGGGCTGTTCAGCCCACATCCAAAGATATCAGGGACAGACCTTCTTGTGGCACCACCACCCACCGCAAGCACCGAACCGTTTGAGGATGTGGGTGGGGAGCCGAGGTGCTGCCGCCCAAACGGTCCAGAGTCGATTCGTGGGTCCTCGTGCCAGAGGTGCTGCTGCTGCACCCACGCCACGCTCTGTCGCTGCCGCAGCAACGCCTCGTGGGGTCCCGTCGGGGGGAAGCCGTCCCGTGCGGGTAGGGAGCGACCGAAAGGAAGATGCATGGTGAGGATCGCGTCAAAGAGAACATTAACTTGACATGAACACAGGAGAAAAGGACTTAAATATAGAGGTCTAAGGGACATACCAAACAGTTGGAAGCAGAAGTTGCACGTCAAAAACAACAGAAACACATGGAGACATTGGGTCGTCATGTTGGTGTCAGTTGAAGCTTCAGTAATCCAATCATCATGGAAGTGGAGGGAGGGAGTTCACCACCTGCGTGGTCTTCGGATTGAACATGGTCATCCCAAATCGGGGCCGGCCATGCAGTCCACGCTTCCATACGCTTCCCATGGGGATTCCAGGGAGTATCAGATTTCCATGGTGTCCACGTCGCCATCTCTCTACATCAGCCGACAGATTTCCAAGGCAACATGTCTGAGGATCTGGTAATCAGTGTCTTGGGCTATCCTTCAGACTCGTGTTGACCGTCTTGAACGTCTGGATCGGTGCATCGATCGACCCGAAAGTTCGTACTCCTCATCAAAATGAAGCTCCTGTCGAACCTGTTTGTAATAGGAAGTCCGATTTGGAAGGATACGATTGAAGTCGGGTCCAGGTGCCATTGGTTTCCATTGGCCACAATGCCAGCAAAACTATCTCCTCCGCATGTGCGAAGCGGCGCCTGCAGCTGCGATTGGACCCACTTCTCATCCGCGCTGCCATAGCCACCCCTGAGAGCTTTTGACACAAGACAGCAGCCGTTCAGTGATTCTCAGGAGATGGGGTGACTTCGTGAACTCGTTTCTGCCGTGTCCCGAGAATCCCAGACGCTCCATGGGAATATCTTTTCGAATTGTCTGCGTATTGACCTCTCAAACCACCCCCCCCTGGCGAATCTGCCAACGGAGTCGACCCGCCTCGTTCGGGGTGTCTATGGCTTAGCCCCAAACAGCTGTGATTCGGGGTGTCCATGTCTACCACCCCTTGACGGTGCTGGTCTATGGGATCTTGAAGATGGCTTCCACCAGGCCCTTGCGACATCGCCCAGTGCTTTTGGGACGTCGGTCGGCGAAACGAAAACACGCTCGGGTGCTGGGTACTAGCACCACGGAGTTCGGGTGTCCATTCAGCCCCGGGAAAGAGGTCAATAGGGGTGTCCCTTCATCACCCGGTGCAGATCCGCACCCGAAACAAAACAAGAACCCTTGGTTCGGGGCGGGGCCCTTCGGGTTCCCTTGTTGTACTAGGGTTCGATCGGTCCGGACTCGGATCCTTAGGGCACCTTTTTGGGGTCCAGGGGTACATGCTAGTTTGCCTCGCCCTCGAAGGCACCGACTTCGGGGACGAAATCCGTCGATCGAACGGGCACCGATCCAAGCCAAAGCGCACCGTGTCAGGTCCCCAAGCGAGGCGACCTACCCTGGAGTTGCTTCCAACGGCTATACATTGCATGGTATGAAGGGTCCATTGAACCCTTATAGTTGTGAGAAACCCCACCCAGACCGCTTCACTCTCAGTCCCCTCGGGTCCTGCCACGAACCGGTGAACCGGACCGTGTGTGGGAGGACCCCAGACTCGTCGCAGGACCGGTCGGAACCGAAACGGAGGAAACGGAGGAAACGGACACCAACAGGAAAACCCATTCGCAGTATACTGATGATGTTAGGCATAGTAAACACAGCTGCTGACACAGTGGCCAAGCTCCTAGTAAACCCCAAAAGTTGGCATCATTCCAACTGTGAGCAGTTCCATGTGCAAAAAGAAATCACAGATCACAAAGAAATCATGCGCTCGGATGCACAAAATATGAGCACGTCTTCAAAATGAGACACACCCTTTTTGCAGTGGTTTTGGTTGGTCTCCATCTTCACTTCTTCATATTTTGCCTGTTTCTCAGACTTTTCATCCCAAGGCAATGTTTCTTACGTGTTCACCTCCCATCTGCCAGGGCTTTCATTCACTTTCATTGTAGGTTGGCCATTCCAACAAAGACTTCATGTCTTACCAACCCACACCAAATATATTTTGTTCGCTCTCCCTTCATGTTTAGCAAAAGTCATGAATCCTCACAGTCAAAAAGTCGACGGATTGGATAAGCTCCATAGCTTTGGCCAACCACCCCTGCGTGCATGGCATATCTATACTTACATTGTACTCCATAGGGGTGTTTTGAGGGGTTAATGTACCACGGAGTGTTGCGCAATTCTAGAGGCCTCCCGAACGATCCCAACATCTGTGTATGCCTTGAAATAGGGAAAGCATCACAAGCGTGGCAAGCACCCCGGTTCGGTTCGGTTCGGGGAATCGACCAGTCTACCCAGCCAGGGCCAGGGAATCTCCATCTGTGCCCAGTCACTTCTTGAGCTTGGGCTTTGCAGCTTTGGGCGCCATGCGGAAGACGCAATCGATCACAACTTGCTTGGGGTTGCTTGAATCTGAAGAAAAAAGAAACAACAACTGTAACTATAGGAAGAATAACCATATCTCTGAATCATGGGTATTCTGGGATTTGCTTAACTCCCAAAGTGGATTGAACCGTGGGAAACACAAGAAAAAACCAACACCAGCTGCAGGCAAGACCAGGTCTTGGCTCACCCTTGGCTCAATCCGGGCTCAACTCCAAGGGAGTCTGGGTTTTGAAAGTCCGGACTCCCTGGCGTCTTTGGTGGAGTAGGTCCGTCCCCGTCCAAGGATTCCTCTGGGCGGCTCCCCAGTACCGGGGCAGCTCCCGGCGCCCGTAAAAGAAGCTCAGAGGGGTTGTAGTATGTGTTTCTTGTTATGCAGCCTGATCATGGTGGTCATGAGCCTTGAACTTGTCTACTTACAGAAAACTAACTATCTTGATCCATGATGTCGTATCGATGAAGCCTGGCTCCAGTGTTTCATAGGTCGGTCGTCCTGTTTAAAACGTCAATGACGTTCGCACAGATCATAGGATTGGATCAGCAGAAAGGTTCTGCTTGTTTTTCATAGCTTCCATGTTTTCTCAAAGACTCTACCTTTCAGTACCTTTCTGCTTGTGGCTTCAAGTACGAATGAGCCAAAACGGGACTCGCAGGGCTCCCCGCGCTGGCCAATCACCAGGGGTTTACACCGATGAAACGAATAATGCAGTTCGGTCAGATCGGTCTACCAGCTGCTTCAATAGTACTTTAGAACATTTTAGAACATGGGACATGACTTGACCCTACATGTGAAAACAAAAAACAGGTGTTTCGGGCCCCATTTTTCGAGCTACGAACCGGTCGACTCCCAAAGAATTCCCGGAGTCGTCTTCCATTCTTCAGTCTTCGAACTTTCCAGTTGGAGTTGAGTGGAAAGGTTTCTGCAGTTTCTCCACTTCCCCGGATCCTGAGAGGTGAGTTGATCCTGACAGGTGACCCTCCCTGTTCTCTTTTTGACCCATGTCGTATGCCAATGTCGGATCCACCTGGATTCTGAGAGGGCCATTGGACCAACTTCTTTTGGTGTTACACCCCTCAGTTAACCCAACACAACCCTAAGTGGAACATGGCTCCCAGAGGGATTCGATCACTTTCAAACCCAACTTGGTGCCATGCTTTCAGGGCCGATCCCATCCCGATCCCATGTGTCGGCATGGGCAACTCCTCACTTGATGCACGAGCGAACTGGGCGCGCATTCATGCGTCACATGGGTGGATTGGTTGGATTTTGCTCTTGGGGAACTGGAAAGAAGAAACACATGTATTCCAAATTGAACTGAACATCAACATCTCTTGTGATGCAAAACCATCATTCCAGTTGAGCATTCTCTGGGTAAACACCATCCCTGATCACCGCTGATCCAAAATACCACCATGCCAATGGTCCCACTGATGCAGGCCTGTCAAGACAGGAAGAGACGAAACCACACCGTTTGAAAGTACTGACCTTCATCCTCCCTAAGGATCCACATCCCTTCTCCAAGCCTATATAAGGTGTCTAGAAAGCTCTGCTCACACCCGGAACCGTGCCGGAATTCCCGGTCGAAAAGAAACGCATGCAAACGCTTGTACCAGGTAACAAGGACATCACTAGTAGCAATGCCCTTGTTGCTAGTAGCGATGTGCTTGTTACTAGTTACAAGTCCCAAACGTTTCACCACGTGCATGTTGAGTGGGCATCCCCTATCCGCAACAAAAAGGTGATGATCCACTGAGTCCGGGGCAGGCTGTGGATCCACATACTTATACTTGGGCGTTCTCCACTTTTTCTGGGTAGGCATGCCTGGAAACCCAGTCCCAACCAAAAACAGTTCTGGATGTTCCAAGTTCTGGCGCCAGCTTAAGCTCCTTGGGACTTTAGAGTTCCATCCATATATTAATTTCTGGTGGGGAGGTTTGGGACACCCAGGTAGCTACCTCTTCGTCCCAGGTTGGGAGGTTGGGAAACCTCTTGGTTTTTCAGGTCACTGAGCCCTCGGACTTTCGTCGAATCCTCGATGACAGTGAGAACAGCTGCAGCCCTGAGGTCGCGACCGCGACCGCGACCGTGACGGAACACATGAATTCGAAGAGAGTTCCTAGACTTTATATATGACTGACTATACTTATACCAAAATGCCTAGCAAACCCATCAACGTTCTTTTTCCATGGTTTTTGAGGTCCACGGGTATAGGCGACATAAACTATACCAGGGCACCCTATAGCGGGGTGTCTAACTAATAGCCAGGCTACCTTCGAGTCCTAGAGGTTGGGTGTCGATTTAGAGGGCCTGGTAAGGGTCACAGAGGGGTTCCAGAGTTCTGTTCAAAGACTTGAGATGAAGGGTTCAAAGTCGTTGGAATGAAGGGTTCAGAAGGGTTCCAAAGCTTTGCTCGAATACTTGGCATGAAGGGTTCAAAACACATATGGATGAAGAAGGGGTCAAGAGCTTTGTTCAAAGACTTGGGATGAAGGGTTCAAAAACTACCACCCTACCATGATTTTACGGGGGAGGTTGGGACTCACAACCAAGTAGTAATTGACCAATCAGCCCAAGAGTTTTGCGCAAACCTTTCACATCCACACCCAACGGATCACAAAGCCAGTGGTCAGTGATTGCATCACTTCTGTGTACCACCCTCAGAATCCTTGGGCCCTCCATGGTCTTACCAAACACCGAAACACGGGAGGGGTGAAGGGGCCCGGATGGATGAATCGTGGGCATGTCATGGTCTCAACCGCGCCGGAACCGTACCATGGAACGATGTGTCCACGCTGTCTCTGGGCCGAGAACCTGTCCAGCACCCTGAGCTTGGGACCGGGGCGCCGGGAGCTCCAGCCCTGGACCAGGAACACCGGTTCATTCTGCGGCCCTCCTGGAGCTCCACCTCACACCCCCCCCATCCTCCAAAAGATTCGGAGAGGGGTCCGAATCAACTCAAGGCCGTAGCCACCATCATCCGAGATCCACTCACCAATTTTTTGCGCTGGCATTGAGCCTTGAAACGGTGCCTCTGTGATGGCTTTGTGTTGAAATTCAATCGATCTGTCGTGGCCAACGGTGGCCTATGGTTCAAGCGGCGTTCACTACACTGGTCTCTTTGCATTTGGATTCCAGTGTGAAGTTGGGCGGCAGCTCTGTCTCAGCAGGTTGGGGAGGCCCCCAGCTGCTTGAACGAGCTCCGGGTCCTTGCGGGTTTCCAAGTACAACACATGAAAACAAAAATCACTCTCAGTCTGAACCGGTTCAGTGACAGATCGGTTCACGGTGGATCATCAAGCTAGGCAGCTTGAGGAGGCGTCAATAGGTTCAATAGATCTTGAGGGGTTACGTCAAGACCATGCTAAAACATCATACAGTTATAGCAACTATTGAGCAGCTTCAGCCAAGCGTCTGCGCGCAGATTCTTGGGGAAAAAAACCAATCGTGTCGGATCTTGCCGGATACTTTCGAGCGCCAATGCTCGATTGAGGAATTCACCACGCGGCGGCTGGAAGTCGCCGGACTCGTCAAAGAGCAAGGTCTGGGTACTCAAAGAGCAAGACTTAAGACCATTAAAACAAGACCCAGGCCATGCAGGTACGGACCCCTAGAACCACCCCAATGTAGGTACATATATGCCATGCATGGATGGTCCGCGATAGTTCTTGGAATCCCTTCGAGGGTGGGACTGGGGTTTGGAGGCTCCTGCTTCTGAGGAGGTACGACCCAGAAAGGAAACGCGTTGAAACGCCAGTTGAAGCCCCTGAAGCCCGCACTACAAGAGTCCATGCAGGGCTTTGAGCATTGAGCTCTGCTTCACCCAACTCCCAAGAGTCCACAGCTCTGCTTTTCTCGCCCAGTCACTTGTAGCTCTGCTTGAAAATGTTGGCAGTTGTTGAACAAAGTGCTGTATCGTTCCCATCGGCTTGCCAATGACCCACCCATCCACGATAGCACATCTTTTACCTTGGACTTGCTGTCCAGCCAGGACAAAGTTACCTATTCACCACAAGGGGATTTACCCAGTTCGTGAAAATAACAAAAACATCTCATCCGCGAAACCAGGCTACGGTGATGTGCTTCTTCACATGCCTGGTGCGTTCCGGAATGCCATTGACTGCCCTGGATTGGCTGCAGGCCATGAAATGTTGAGTGAATCCAAGAAGATCCTAAGCCGGTCGTGCGCGCCATGCAGTGACATCACCCAGAAAGGGTCCAGGTACGAAAGTTCAGAAGCTCGGAGAAAAAACAAGGGGGGTCCCACAAGTACCTGGAGTCTCCAGTTCGTACCGGGTCGAATCCGACCTGATCACATGGCACATGACCGGAACAAACCACCGATTTCGTCGGTTCTCTATGGAATTCTCCCATCAACGGTACCCGGGTCGACTCACTCCTCGGTGCGGACCAAACCGGTCCTGTGTGCCCGGACGATGCCGAGATCTCGGGCCGATCCCCACTCGGGTGAGCCAACCTTCGATCCCCTCGGAAAGGGAGGAAGGTTTCGAATGGTTTCGGTGAGTATACGCATGAAACCAAAGAATTCAAAAGGCCCTGTACAGGTAAATGACCTCGTGGGTTATAACGTAACAGAATATAAAGTTGACCAGGTTTTACTGGGTAGCACTCTGAAACAGGTCTCCGAAATGGTGGCTTTAGACAAAAAAGTCCTAGGTGACCTGTGAAGTCGGGTGGCTGGCACGGATGGTCCTTTCACCCGCTAGGGTCTGGACCCGAACCAAACCCTTCCCCAATCGGTCGCCGCGCTCCGTGGTCAGTCGGGTCAGTTCTGGCCGACTTCACCAAGAAACCATGCCCTCCGCCACCAACATCTCGATCTTCTGGTCAACGCGCTCCAGCACCAGCTGAAATTCACCGAAATTGATGTCCAACAAAGCATACCTGGGGCTCAAAAGAAATCGTTGCTGCTGAACCTTGCTGTGTATTATACTGACTCAACATATATACTTGATCAATCATTTCAATATAATAAGAATATTGTATTCTAGCATGTCTTGCTAGCCAGAAATTGGACGTTGCGAGTGTGCGTGTTTCATTTCGTATGTTGGTCTTGACCTTTGGGTCATCTCTCCACTACCCACCAAACATGTCTGAGAGAGAATTTGCAAACGAGAAAAAGAGGTGTGGCTGGAAAGTGTGCTTTTGTGGTTGCGCACAAAACAATGAACAAATGCAACTACCTGGAGTCTGGTACTTGCTTCTTTCTTACTCGGGTCATGTCCCATGTACTTCGAGTGGGTGGTCGTACTTCAACTACTCCAGGTAGGGCTCAACAACTCCCAGGAGACGTATGATAAAAAGGGTTGCCTTCGTACATGAAGCGACAAAAAGGCCAGAGGGGCTCCCGAAACTCAGTGTACGATGTGACCTTGCCAGCTAATATGCTGTCCTTCATGAACTCTTGCGGAGGTCCTGTAAGCTCTTTCTTGGAGATCCGCACGCAAACCTGGCTGCAAGGCATTCACTTTCTCAGGCAAGGCATTCACCGTATTCACCCTCTGTTTTTTGAAACTGGATAGCCAAAAGAAAGCCAATTGGACAAACAATAGAAAGCCTTCTTGCACACTCTATCTTTCACAGGAAGGCCAAGGAGCCTCTTCACCACGTAGGTGTCGACGACGATACTTGACCGACGATGAGTTCTTCTTCTGCTCTTTGCATCTTCTCATGCTCGCAAAGCTCACCTGCGGGTTTCGTGAAATGAATGGGACGAGTCAAGAGGAGTCACAGTGGGTGTGGTGTGTTCCAACAGGGAGACTTTCACGTACTTCCTACCTTGGTCAAGGGGTTTGAAGGAGTAGATTGGTCGATTTTTCCTTCTGAAAAGGAGGTCGTTGCCTGGGGGTGGTCTCCCCTTTTGAGCTAGTTCACCACCAAATCAATACCTGGAATCGAGTCTCAGTCCGTACCTCGGCAAATGCTACAGTAGTACCTGTTTGTATAGGGTCATGGCTAGGTACGAACTGGAGGGTCCAGGTACGACATCTGTTTGGTCAATCATCGCCTGTTCTGCCCACCACCATCTTTGTAGATGCCTGCTCTCCGCTTCAACGTGCCCGGATACAAATAGCTCGTGCTCATTCTCCACCTCCACACTGGGCTGCAGGCAACAGCTGAACATCGGGCGCACCGATTTCTGCGAACCGTCAGGAAACAAACACAAATACAGAAACATGGTTTACAACATGTCCGTTCTTGTCTGTGTGTTCCATGTTTTGGCCCTCGATTTGCCTTGAGCCAGCTGCAAAAGAAGCAGAAGCTGGGTCCACCTATCGTTATATCATATGTTTGAGTAATCTCAATGATCTCCATTGTTCATGACTAAACCAAGACCATCCATGTATGGAATAGTTACATACATTCACCCCATTTGTGACCCAAATGTATGTCACAATTCAATACATGGATGGTCTGGGACATGATACAACTTGATATACCAAATTTAAGGTAGTACAGGGTCATTCCAGCGCAAATGCCGCTTGCAAGTTCAAGGGAGCCTGCTATTGTGATGATGCAGGCTTCAAACAGCCAAGCAAAGGAATCTTGTCGAATCTTGTCTTTGCAGACTTGGGGATGAGGTTCGAAAGTAACTTGATGTGTTGAACACGTAACTAGCCAACAATTAGTTTCATGATTCATGAGTCCTAGTCTCCAATGACCTTCTGAGAAGGTATGTGGATCCATAGGGAGTGACAATAAAACCCTGTTGCAACTCCCGCACAGAATCCTACAAGTCCAGTCTGACCCAGTAAAACCTGGTCTCTCTATCATCCTATTTCATCGTGTGAACGTCAGTTCCTAACCCCAAAAATCTCCGTCAAACGAGGTCAGTTCCTGTTTGGGGGAACAAGAACGCTATTACAGTAGCTTGGAGGCAATCGCTATTAGGTTGGAGGTCGTTATGGCACAGACGCAGTCGCACGCAGTCGAATGGCACAGACGCAGTTGAACGACACCTGCAGCTTCTGGCAAAGCAAGCGATAGAGCTCGTTCAGCTCCTGCGATAGACAGCGATGTGATAAGCAGGATGTGATCAGGTGCCAAAGGAAAGGAACTGGTGAAAGCCAAGAACTCCCAAATCCATCATAGACAAAACAACATCATTGATCAAAACATCGAGCTACTAGTCTTTTGTGTGGTTTATTTATAGCGTTCAAAAGGCCCGCTGAGTCATCCAGCGACAACTCAACCGACCACAAAAGCGGAGTCGTCGAACCCGACACTAAACCGTCAATGGGACAGAGGATGAAGAACCCAACAGAGGTTGAAGACTGAGGAACCCATTGGGACCGTTGGTAAGTCTCAATGGGTACCTCTGTTTCTATCTCAGTTGGATGTCGTAGACCAACAAAGCTTGAAGAACCCAACGGTATACTCTCACATCCCAGGAATCCTGTCTGCGTGTCCAGCTCTAGTGGGCTGGGTCGTCGAGCTAGCCAGGACGACCCAGGAATTGGACGACCCCGGTAGGTAGCCCAGTAGGGAAGAGCCCTGACCTCGTTCCGGGATCTGGTTCCTTTGGTTTCATTCTCCAAATTGAAGGGGTTGCTATTCATCAAGACTCACTGTTTGCATGTACAGAGTAAGTATAGGTCTTGTATATCAGGTCACCCCTAAGAATCCTTGGGCTCTCCATGGCAGGGGTCGGACCCGACACCGAAACGCAGGGGTCCGGGCCCGAAGCCAACCCTATCTGTTTGAGGGCCCGGATTCTTAGGGACCAAAAAAACATTCTCTTGGTATCTGTTTTGTATCTGGGTCAGTCGACTGTCCCATTGTCGAAGGTATGAACGGGATATAGCGGGTCCAGCCCGTGGATCCTTTGAAAAGCCCGCTTCTGAGCGGGGTTGGAACCCCTTGAAGGGGCCGGTGCACCAAAAACGGCTCGAGGGACAGGGCCCGACGTGCCAGAAACAGTGAGTCTTGATGAATAGCAACCCCTTCAATTTGGAGAATGAAACCAAAGGAACCAGATCCCGGAACGAGGTCAGGGCTCTTCCCGGGTCTTGGCTTTACATAATCTTTGTATCCATTTTTCTCGGAGCGGACGGAACAAGAAGCTACGAACGGGGCGCTCCTGGCCTTGCTACTAGTAACAAGAAGCTACTAGTCACAAGGTTGACTCCGAGGTGACTCCAGGTCGCCCTCCAGGCGTTAGAGCTGCAACCCCACGGCAAGCCTTCCCCCTGCTTTTCGGTGGGTCAACCCCGCAGCCCTGCGCCGCTTTTTTTCATCAATTCCACGGAACATGAGGCCATATAAGGCCCCCTTCCTCCCAACTTGGAACGCTCCTCTGCATCATCCTTCTCACACCGCAAGGAAAGTAAGCAGGAGAGAGTCCTGCACCGCGACCCAGGTTTAGGCTCAAAGTGGGGCCCCGCGGATGGGCGGAAAAGGTCTTGACCCAGTGACCGCTGCAAAAAACAACAAAACAACCTACTACCCCTGCAGATTAACATTGGAACCCCAAAACCACTGGGTTGTGGAGGAAAATGGTCTTCCACCGGTCAACCTTCAGGTTCCATGTGAGTTTGAACCGTGGGCACCCTTCAATTTGCTGTTCAACCTGGACAACAAATAAACCCTAGGGATCCACATACCTTCTCAGAAGGTACTTGGACCCTCCAAGCCTACATAAATAGTCTCCAATCACCGTACCTGAGAAGGTACTTGGATCCCTAGGGAAACATATTCACCAGTCACCATGGTTAGGGGATGTTGAGGGACTTAGCCCGTTCGCGGCATGAGTCACCTTCCACCTTCGAACGCGGCGTCGCCGGCGCCGCCTGGAAGCCGTCGATTTGTGGATCTCAAACACCACGTGGCACTCGGAAGTAGAGGAGTGCGAGTGCCAACCGCAGGAGATCTCCAGCAATATACCCTGTTCATACATCGGGAACACAACAATATATAAACAATTACAATCAAGTATACCTAGCCTGAGGCTTGACCTGTTTCTTGTTTGGCTTGTTATTACTTCTTATGTTGTTTGGGTTGTTGGGCGCCCGATATGTCCCATGTGCCGGTTCGGTCCACCGGTCTCTTCTTAGGATCGAACGGAAGCGCTTTGCCGACGAAGGAAACCAACGTCTCGAATGGTCGGACATCGATGGCTGGTCTTGGACCTGAAGTGAGTCTGGAGATAAATACTAACAGGAGGGTTGCAACGCAAGTTGGGGTGATAGCGTTTATTTGAAAAAAAGGTTGGGTATCTCAAAGCAAATGTACTTGGTTGTATCTCGACAAACGACACAACCAATATGCTTCTTGCTTTTCTTTTTGTTCATCTGATGGTACTTGCCGGGGCCCCAAGGAAAAAGCAACATCCAACGAAGACTCTTTACGGGTTTGGTATGTGGCTAAGGATCCGGTGATATCCGGTGCATCCATTCTTTAAGTCCAGATTTTCGGTACCCTGGCCTTCCAAGACCATTTTAAGTAATGGCTGCTGACCTGGTCTTGTTAAATCTAAGTAAAACAATGGCTGTTCGGCCAAGCCACTGAAATTAATGGTGATTGAAATCCTATGGAATCCTAGGGCGTGGTTTGGTCAAGACTTCTTAACATGTGATGGACCCAGCACCCCCTTTCGAAGGGGAGAACACCAGCACTCCGCATCGGACAATGACGAACATGTTCTTGCTTTACACTGCTTTGCAGCTTTGTGTTCCACTTCCATTGTGGAAAACATATGTCTAGAAGGAAGGCTAAGATTCAGCTGGGGGTGGGATTACCTTAGCATGTCCCTACACCTCCAAGTACCTCCTCAGAAGGTGTTTGGACCCTCCAAACCCACCCCAAACACCTTCTCAGAAGGTACTTGGAGCCCTAGGGCTTAGCATGTGTGATTCAACACCTAACCGTTTTCAGCCTCGGCGTGCGCTATGCGGCTGACTATTTTCAGGGCCCTTTCGCGGTCAAAAAACACTGACCTTCTCGATGAGAGCTGTAAGACAATGATGAACATTCCCGTTTGGGATCCAGTCGTACCTCCTCAAGTTCGGTACGACTGGACCCGAACATGGCACCCGGGCCCCCAGTCCCACCGAAACGAGGGTACGACTGGATCCTTATGAACATTGAGGTGTGCATGTATATCACCGCGGATGCCTCAAAGACTGGCTAATCCCCTCTTTAAAATATACATGCCCATGTCCATTCAGGGGTCAATCCCTAGGGATCCACATACCTTCTATAAGAAGGTGATTGGAGACTATTTATGTAGGCTTTGAGGGTCCAATTACCTTCTGAGAAGGTATGTGGATCCCTAGGGTATACATGCCCATGTCCATTGTGGCTCCTTGTATCCCTCTCCACACCAGGTATCCAAGCGGTTTGCGGACATACTGTCCAGAGCATCCGCGGCCTTTTCTTTGTCTCCCTTGACCCACAAAGATCCATGGTACCTTCAGTCAGAGGATGTTGGAACGGAAGTGAGTTCGTACAAAACCAATACCAACCCTTCGAATGGTCGTTACAAAGAAACGGGTCCGGTCCTGGACGCAGTCGTGGGTGTGGAGAGAAATCAAAGTGTATATATATATATACAGGCCGACGACACATTGCGACGACACATTCCCTAACGTCACAACCCCCCTGACGACACATTGTGACGACGCCTTCCCTGACGACACATTACCAGCTGACGACACATTCCCCGGTGACGACACATTGCGACGACGCATTGGCTGACGACGCATTACCCCCTGACGACACATTCCCCGGTGACGACACATTCCCTGAGGACGCATATTGCCCCCTGACGACACATTACCCGGTGACGACACATTGCGACGACGCATTCCGTGACGACGCATTGCGCCCTGACGACACATTCCCCGGTGACGACATATTGCGACGACACATTCCCTGACGACGCATTACCCCCTGACGACACATTGCGACGACACATTGACCAAGGCGACCGGGTTTTGCGTAATGAGGCAGACAAATCTTTGCAAGGCAGCGGCTGCACGAAAGCGGTTTTAACGCGCTTATTTCCGCTTGGGTCTGAAGGTGCATAGGTGCTTTGGAGTTTGGGAGGAACCTGTGGACAATCAGGATATCAACCATAATGAGGGCTTTGCAACGTGGGTTATATGAGACTTGAAGAAATTTTTTGAGTCAGAAATAGTTTGGTTGAATCAGTTGTTTTAGTTGTTTTTTGGAGCAGCGGGTCAAGGAGCTGCAATCCAAGTATGACGCGATTCGCAGTTACAAGAGCCATGTGGATGGAGTAAAGAGAGGCCTCGAACCACATACTCCGCAAGCTCAATCTCCAGCTTTTTCTCGGACCACAAGCAGAAATCAAAGTGCACTATTTGACCCAGGTTCGGGATTGGAAGGGGTGGTCCCTGACTGAGAACATTTGCAGTGTAACGATCATGATTCACGATACAGGCTTTGTTTCTAAATCCTGGGTCCACGGTCAACTGCCTATTGTTTCGCAATCCCCAAGGTTCTCTCAGTTGAATATTCACTATTCCGGTGGTCTCTGAGAGGACGCCTCCGGCATCCATTCCTTCTTGGCTATGAAACGCAAATGCCAGGCAAACTGATCGAACCTTTAATTGCGAAGGATCGTGTGAGACATAGATCATGTGTCGCTCAGATATCCCCAACAACGTGAAGATCGACAGCTTCGGTCCTGCAGCAGATGGTGTGGAGACGCACTATGAAGACACAATCCGACTTTGCATAAGGAACAAACCAAAACACAGAAACCACGTTTTTTGAACCAAACTCATCCAATCAATAGCTTGCATCATCGCCAATGGATGCTTGGCCTGATTGTGGTCCCAAAAGAACACAACATGTCCATCCAAGGCGTGGGCTATGCGGCTATGGACAGGTGTTGATGTAGTCCTGTAGAATGTGAGTTTGCGGGTGGTGCAACTCCCGTGTATTTTGGGGGCTCAGGAGAATACAGAATACCCGAATGGACTGTGCAAATGAGTTTTCAATGTCTATATAGAATCTAGAAGTGAATCTCCGTAGATTCAAAAACTAAAAACATGTTGTCAGCACGTGAAAGCCTTCTCAAGCTACGGCACTGGGTCTGATCTTTGAGCCCTCAGAGCCCTCACAGCAGCATTTTTGGACGTCGAATCCTCCGAGACGAAACTGGCAGAATTTGGCCCGCTCAAAGATGCGGGATAAGCCCTTACTGTGTCGGAAGGTTCGATTTCATTTATCTGTTCATCACTCTATGACTTTTCATGACGCATAAATAACTATTAATATATATGTAGTTTTATAATTATAAATATACTACGTCTAACGTGTTACGGGATCAAAGCAATTGGAAACAGGGTGGAGCATCTGAACTGGTGCCGGCCATATACCTTCTCTTCTTTGTTTGACTCCTCTCTTTCGTTTGACTCCTTTCTTATTCGTTTGACTCCTCTTTTTCGTTTGACTCCTCTCTTTCGTTTTGCAAATGGGGAAGAAGAGCATCACAAACACAGTGAAGAGCCTTTCTGTCACCTTCGCGCCTCGATCAAGCACACTGGCTTTATGGCTTCCTGGACAAGCAGGTTTGTGACCAACAGCAAATGACAAGAAGGACCTGTCAAATTTCACATGTGTGGAAAATGTCTTTGCACAGGCTTGTCTGCTTGCACGCTAGGCCCAAACGCTTTTTTCATGTGTTTTGTAGCAGCCAATCTGAGAGGCTTGGCAACGGAGGACTGCTGGCAAGGTTTTGTTTCTCAACCTCTCCGCGCCAATCCCAATGGTTCAAGGCTTCCTCATCTCCCTTGACCTGGCTGGCTCTAAATTTGGACGGGCTCTCTTGCGACAAGAAGCGGCACCACTGCACTGCAAGCTGTGCACTGCGCACTCTAGCCAAAAGTGTGCGTAAATCGTCGTGTTGGTGCCCGAGGCCCATTGCATTGTATAGCTTGAAGACCTGGTGGTCATCAGGATCAACAATGGCAAAGCCAGGCCGGTCGGAGCGGCATTGCCCCTCCACGAAAAGTTCATTTTGCAGCTCAACCTCTTCCTTTTTGTGCCTGGAGAGTTGCGCAATTCCGCATCCACGAAAGAAAGAAAGAAAAAGGGCGTGGGCCACCTTGGATGCGTCCAGCGGCGCGCTCCAGGAGCTGCTGTGTAGCAGCAGTGGCAGGCTGATTGTGATCTCGCTCTGCTTGTTGTTGACACACAAGGCGTCCAAAAAATAGTCTTGCGCGCTCCATAGCACGTTTTGGGCTTGCCGCGTCAAAGCTTCTTGCAGCCGGCCGTCATCCATGTACCGGACCGGGTACCTTGCTTGCAGGTCCGGCAGGTGCGTGACCATGTGGTCCACATCTTCTGAGGCCAACACACTGATTGAAAATGACTGCGGGTTGTCGAAGAGGGCCCGAAATTGGACTGGCGCTTCTCCTTTGTTTGGGGTCTGAGGACTGAAGCCTTGCATATACTGCACAACGCGCTGCAAGGAAGTCTGCCACAAGCTCCAAGGGCAATCCAGCATTTTGGATTTCCAAGTTGCTGAAGTGTAAATGTTCGACGGCCATGCCCAAGCCTCTGATATCTGATAGCGGTGCTCCACCTGCAACTGGTCCCAGACACTTTTGCAGTATGTGATGAAATGTTGCCACTTCTCAGCTTTGTGTTGCTGGCTGTCATGCCCTTGACAATTGAGTCACCTCTGCTAGACATTCCAGCAGTACGTAGCAACGCTGGGAAGCACGGGTCAAGGCAATGTACCGCCAAGCTGAGCTCAGAAGGTGCGTGCCAGCATACACGCCGTCTTTGTCGCTCCGCCTGGGTAAGTACAAAAAGGAGACATCACACTCAGAGCCGCCAGATGCGTTGGGCAAATAAAATTGCACGGCTTGGATGATGTTCTCGGCCATCTCCGTTGTGGCTACTCCCAAAGAGTGCGCGACAGGCCCAAGACAGGCCAGCGCTGATTGTACCAGATGTTGCTCCAAAAAGACCCTTTGTAAAGCATAGAAAGCAATCACCATGATGGAGACATGGTGGCCATTTCTGACTGCCAGCAAGGCTTCCACACAAAGGGCATGCTGACCGACGCCACGTTTGAGCAATAGGGCGCAGTCACCCGTTGCTCGAAGGGCGCCGGTGATCATGTCGCCGTAGCGGAAGGAGACTGGCAAAGTGATTTTTGGAATGGCTGCCCTTGTCGCCCAGGTGAACGCAGAATCTTGTTGGAGAGAATCTGCAAACTCCTTCGGAATTCGTCTTCGGGCGGGAATTCGTCTTCGGGGGGGAATTCGTCTTCGGACAATGTGTCTTCGGAAGTCGTCTTCGGGGGGGAATTCGTCTTCGTGGGGGAATTCGTGTTCGGACAATGTGCCTTCGGAAGTCGTCTTCGGGGGGGAATTCGTCTTCGGGGAGGAATTCGTCTTCGGGCAATGTGTCTTCGGAAGTCGTCTTCGGGGGGGAATTCGTCTTGGGGGGGGGAATTCGTCTTCGGACAATATGTCTTGTCTGCGGGTAAAAATTGCGTACCCGCAGAGCGGCTACAATGTATATTTATATATATATATATATTCACGCAAGTGGGTTCATCTTGCGTGTCATTGGAAACAGTTGAGGTTCAAAGGTGCGTTTTTTACACGGTTCCAGCCGGCAGCTGGATGGACGCTTTTTCCAACCTCTCAACCTCTCCCTCCCCCATTCCCATCCTGGCATCTGGCAGCTCCAGCGCATCAGGGAGCAAGTCTGTAGGTCTGCAAGCATGGATGCGTCGGTCCAGGTCGGCTCCGGTCCAGGTCCGTCACCGGAGAGGTCTACAGGTCATGACTGACTGGAGTTGGTCATAAAGCTTGGGTGTATGGACGGATGATGGTGAGCTTGTGGACGGCCAACATCTCTAATAGAGTGATCATCTTTGACTGACTGTTGCTGGTCATGGGCTACACCCTAGTCATATATGGGTATGGGGTTGGTCATGGGAGATATTGTAGTCCCTTGTCCCATACACGCTAAAGGAACCAGGGGGACTCAATGACAAAGAAGGACCAGGTTAGCGCATGGGTCAGATTGGACCTATAGGGTGGATCTTCCGGGCAGCGCATGTCCAGGGCAGCGCATGTGCACAACACAGCTGGGGTGTCCCTCATGCAGTGAATTGATTTTACCTGTTGGATTTGACTGGGGTGTCCCCCATCCCCCCAAAAGGGTAAAGGTTATCCACTGACTGGGTAGGTGTATAGAGGATTGTTCATTGAAATCATCTTGGCCCAACAACCGTGCCAACAACCGTGCCAACAACAACAACAACAACAACAACAACAACAACAACAACAACAACAACAACAACAACAACAACAACAACAACAACAACAACAACAACAACATACAACAATCATGCAAAACAATCAACATCTTGCCTTGTGGCGTTATCTTTAGTTTTTTTTCCTTTTGAGTGTCTCCGTGCAGCAAGCCCTTAAGGGCAGCAAATGACCACTGGTGAATGAAAAGCTTTGGGGTCACACCATAACCATAACTTGGCTGTGGGATGATGAACAATGATCTGTAGCCTTCCCAGACCACACTGAGAATGGTAAAGGCAGGAGTGTGCTTTTTGACTCATGCCCGTGAATGTCTGTCTCACCAAAACTAGTGAAAGAGGCATAGACGTCTCACGTAGGCTGATGGGCTCGGCAAATGCATAGACCTTCATCTGCGTGAACGTTAAGTCCTTATACTAACAGTTCCAAAGGGGGGTGGATTGGATACCCGTGAGGGAGTGGAGATTCTCAGTGAAACAACCAGTCAGAAATAAGGAGTACATGGAGTGTCTGGGATATGAGGAACCAGAGTTTCTAAGTATATATGTCTAAATCGTTGGATTGGCGATGGAGGGGGTGCGTCGCGTCGGATGCGGATGCGGACAAAGTTAACATGGAGGGAAGTGTTGGATCTGGGCGGCCATGGTGTCAGCAAGTACCTGGATTCGTACCTCGGAACATGTAGTACTGTTTGTACCTGATTTTGTAGGGTCATGTCCCAGTATCAAAGGTACTCGAAGTCCGGTCCAGGTACTTGTTCTGCCCGGAGGCGCAGGTATTTTGCGCTGTTTCGGGTTCCCCAAGTCGACCTCGACCTGTTGACGTGACTGGTTGACAGTGTGACTGGTTGACAGTGTGACTGGTTGACGTGTCCCGTCGATGGGATAGAGGCGTGACGAAACGCGCTGACCAGTGACCTTGCCCTTGCGTGTGTTTCGTCGCGCAAATGGAGCCAGATGAGATTGGATTTGATTTGCGTCGTCGTCAATGAAATTGACGATGTCCCGTGATTGGTCAGCAAAGGGGAGATATTGCTAGCTGTGAGCGTGCCATACCCGAATCGCCCATTTTCTAGATCCGTCATGCCAGCGGCCGGTAGAAGTCCCAGTGCCGCCCCTGAAACTCTAAAAACAGGTCCATTCGTCCCAAAGGTGAAATGTCATCACCTTTGCAGTGTCGTATTTGGATCCACATACCGAACCTCACGTTGGCTACCCTCCTGGCGCATGGCTGACAATAGTCTCCGTCCTCACCGTACCTCAGGTTCGCTATGTGGATCCATAGTGGCAAACTTGGGGCTTCGGTATATGGATCGGGGAGGAACTCTCGGCAACCTCTATGTCCGTCTTCTTGGGCCAAGCACTTGAACATGGAAGATCTTTGGGGTGAGCCATCCCTCCCTAGGGATCCAGTCGTACCTTCTCAGGTACGGTGATTGGAGACTATTTATGTAGGCTTTGAGGGTCCAATTACCTTCTGAGAAGGTATGTGGATCCCTAGGGCCTGGTACCAAGCCAAAATATCCTATCCCGAACACTCCATGTATGCTATATATGCCTACATTGACCCCCATCCCCTCCATCCCGCGCCTTCCCGTCTCCAACATCATCGCCATCTGCGCAGCGACGATGGCGCGGCGATACATGCGTTTTCCACCGATGGAGCGTGATGAGAAATACATCCCCCAAAAAGAAACATGGAAGGTTACAAATACAAAGCCCAAACAACCGGAAACAAAAGCTGTAGGTGTTCCAATATGGCAATTAAGACATATTACTATACCAGCACCGACTTCACAGGTCACCAATTGAAACCTGTGCACGGGCCTAACAGCCCTCCATTTCGGAGACCTGCTGGAAGGTGCTGGTCTATATATATATATGTAGCAAGTGGTTGTTTGTGGAAATATGTGGGACATATCCATTAATTTCTGGGTAGGACTGGGTTTCCAGGAATGGCGTACGTAGAAGAGGAACTGAGAACATACCTGGACTTTCTGGGGAGCCATAGACGTCTTGCAATTCAGGTCCATCCTTCGCACTTCGATGTAGATTTTGGTAACCAACACTGGGTGGGTTGCATGTGGTCTTATCCCTCGGGCTCCTGGCCCACATCCTCAGGTTCGGTGGTTGGGCTGGGTTGGGGGGTCTAACCACCTTCTAAGGTTGTGGTTGGAGCCCTAGGGTTGGGTACATATGCACCCTCAAGCACCCCACTTGAGTGGAAAGGCTTTTGAGGGGTGAGCGGATGGACAGATCGCAAGTTGGTGTGGAAGGTAAAACCAATATAACTGTGTATTAACATAGGGAGGGAGACCCCCAAAAACCTGTAAGAAGGAACATAGACCAATCAACGCAGCCAGGGCCTGATTTAGTGTCTCCCGGATTTGCCCAGGGCGCCCTAAGGCTTCAGGGGTGTGCAAGTATAGTTCCTTAGAGGTTAAGGGATGTCCAACCACCCCAAACCAGGGCCCCGCTCCGGGGGAGCCGGTTCCGACCCCACAGTGTTGCGTCGGCTGCGGCAGCGGCAGCACCCAAGAACAGGTCGGAGCGAGTGAGCGAGTGGCCGAGTTTGGGAGACTGAAAAGAAGTCGCAGGTGGTGACCTGTTGGGAGGGTGCTGGTATTTATATATTTCTGGTGAAGATTCTCTTAAACAAGTGACAAAAAGAGCAGCAGAAACGGTGGGAACATGTTATTGGTGTATGTATCTCCTTGAGGATGACACAAATGGCCGCCACTTGGGAGGTGCATCGGAGAGCTTTGGGTCACAGTCTGAATGGAAACCAAGCCGTTCTTGGAACGAACTGCATCTGTTCTTGTTGAGCGGAGCCTTCCTCATGTCGTCCTCCATCCACACTCGTACATCTGGGCAGCCCTAGCTCCAGCATACGTATCCCTCTCAAAAGGACTCTGACCCGGTCTGACCCGTTGGTTCAAACCAGGTTTTTGAGAAACCTCAGCCTCATTGAGTGGTGTTTTTCTATGAACTCCAGGTAAAATGAGCTCCGTGCATGACCCTGTAGGGTCAACTATATTGTCATGTCCACATGTTTTCGTACCCAAATGAAACAAAAAAACGAACACCTTTCGCCTCCTGCCGTGGTCAACCCCGTCCCGGTTCCGGAATCCCCCCACGCGTTCCGGCACCGGTGCTTCACCCCCACCCACCCGACACCCGGTCGGACCGCCTTGGCAGCAGAGATGCGGACGTCCCTGGTGCTTTGCGCGAAGTCCGCGAGGTCCGGGATCCTCGTGAACGCTGGGAGCGGGCGCTTCCGCGGTGGCGGGTGGAGGGTGACCGGGTGCAGGGTGACGGAGGATCTGGAGTTGGTCCAACACGCGGTCGTGGGCGGTTTGGAGGTCAGTCTTGCTTCGGAGGTACGTATGGAGGCCCAAGAACACTGGGTCCTGCACGGTTGAGGGGCCTTATAGTATCCTCTATAGTATACTGGTGAATAGAGCCCCATTACTAGCCCCAACCTCTCTTTGGGGCCGACACGCCGTGACACCCCCTCTTTTCAAGGCCCTGGTGTTTGGTTCCATGGAGCAAGTACCTATTTTCGGATGAAATGGTCCAAACTTCGCGTGGCTCCAGTGAGGGACATGTCTCATCCCTATAGGGATCCAGTCGTACCGAGCCTCAGGTACGGTGAGGACGGAGACACTGTTATGTAGGCGCCAGGAGGGCCCCAAGTACCTTCTGAGAAGGTATGTGGATCCCTAGCGCATCCTTTGGGTCATTTGAATGGGTTTTCATGTACCGTAACTAGCCACCAGTCCCTTGGCAGCATGGTCTCAGTAGGTTCATCCCACCGGTGACGGGCTGAGTAGGTGTTGCCCAACCTGACCATAGCGCATCGAGAAAATACACATGCCATCAGACTTGCTGCTTGGCGCACGGCGCACCCTCAACCGAACGAGGAACGGTGGTCAGAGGTGCAGACGCACATTGTTTGCAAAGCACAGTGTCATCCCCGATCTGCAGAACAGTGCTGAATGTCAAGCTAAATTCTTGGCAGTCCATCAAAACGCCCAAGGCGGAAAAACACAGCAATCCCATTTTTTTGCCTATAACGAGCTGTCTGTCTGCCTGCCTGTCTGTGTCTGGTCTGGTCTAGTCTGTCTGTCTCTGTCTGTCTGTTCCTCTCTTTCTGCGAGTCCCCATTGCACGTAGGTTGTGGGTGAGATGCATGTGCTCAATATATATAATATATATATATATAGAGAGAGAGAGAGTTGAACAAATGACACGCCTGTGGGTAGCGTAGTATATCGCTCTGAAGATTCAATGAACCATCGATTCCAGGAGCAAAACCCACGTGTGTTGTGGTTTCTTGTTGGAGTTGCAGACCCAACATCGATGGTCATATACACCAATCTCCACAAAAGCCCAACAGTCTGTGGTCTTCTGTGGGGAGTCTAAGCGAAGCAAGAGCTGATGTTCTTCGGAGATCAGACAAAACTGAGCGAAGGCCCCGGGGTCCGAGCGAAGTATATACACTCCCGAAAACGAACATGCACCTTCCAGCACCACCCAAAGGGTGGTTATTAGATGGAAAAAAGATAGTCAGGGGGGTCTATAAACCACCCTTTGGGTGGTGCTGGTTGAATACCCTGAGAATGGCACGCTGAAGACGATGTTCCGAATACCAACCACAAGTTGGTGGCTCAGCTTCCACGTGGGTCTCTTCTGGGCATCGGCATAGTCTACGTACAGGGATCCACTGAGATCAAGTCGATTAAAACCAAGGGCAAAAAATGAGTCTCAGCTGAGATGGCTATCCTGGGATCAAATCCTCATCTCTGCTGAGTCAGGATACCATACTCAGAGCTTGAAGGGATTAGTCTCACGTAGTCGTGTCAATCACTAAATTCGCTCAGTGCAGAGATAAATAGCATCGCTCAGGTGGCTATCCCAAGCTGGACCCGCAGGAGATGAGATCAAAGTCTCTCCCAATGTGGAGGGATTTTTGTAACCTGCTGCGCCTAAAAAATTGGGAACCTGAAAAGACATTTGTTGGACAACTCCTGATAGCGAGGCCCCCACTGATGCCGCAGCGTCCGCCATGCATGATGTAGCCGGAGATCCATCTGCATGACGTGCAGTCTGAGTGGATAAAAGGATGTCTCAAGATGTTCGTGTGTGAATCAGCGCAACAAACTGGTGCCTTCACACATGTTCCAGATTGTTCAAGTCTTTCTGGAACTGGGGAACCTTCACATGGCCAGCACAATCTGCTCAAGTGCTCTCGGCAGCTCTTTGATTCCCCTTAGGAATATGAGAAACCCTTCCTTTCCATCCAGTTCACGCGTTTTCGCTTAAATTGTTTGCCGATTTGAGTGCCTTAAACAAGAGGTACAGTACACAGCGTTAGTTTGTTTTGTTTCTTTTTTCGTTGGGATGGAAGACCAAACATATTGAGAATTTCACTATGAAAGTCTTACGTAAGAAAATCAGTCTTACAATGCAAACTGTCTGTTCAAACTTGGCCAGGCTTGGACTGACGAACAAACAATCTTTTTGGTGAAAAGGTGTTAGCTTCCTCCAGCCAAGGACCACTGGCCCACACTGGCCCCTTCAGTTGATCGATTGGAAGATATTGGAAGCACATTCCACGTCACCAGGGACACAGGCAAACAACAACGAAAACACAGACTATACCAGGACCCTCCAAGGGGTGTCCAATGAACTACCCCACACTACCTGAGAAGCTGCAAGACGAAAGCCAGCGGTTTTTGTCCACGAACACGTTGTTGGCCAAAGGCAGCATGCAGCTGCGCACACGGCGTGCTTCCGTGCACCCCTACACACCACCTACTTTCGAGTGTGCTTTCTCAGGCCATCCCCCCGAAACAATTTTCTTACTCAGCTTGCGCCTTGCCAGGTATAGATACCCAGGGTAGCTACAATTCAGTTTCCAGGTATAGTACTTCAAGTTCCCATTCCGTCAACCGCTCGATAACCTTTACACACGCACAGCAATCCACAGCTTTGAAGTCTCATCCGTGCTTTGAACTTATATAGGTGTGTAAGAGGTATAGCAACATAGCATATATACGGACCCAGGGTAGCTACAATTCTGTTGCCAGGTATCGCACTTCAATTTCCCTACTCTGGGTTCGTGCGCACGCGCCTTGCTGGCTCCCGGCTGCCCTAGGTTTAGGCGTGCGCGCGCGCGTGGACCCAGGGCAGCTACAAGGCAGTTGCCAGGTATACCCAGGGTAGCTACAATTCAGTTGCCAAGTATAGCACTTCAAGCAACCGAAGACAATTGCATTTCTTAAAATCACAAAAATAAGCACCTCCAAAACCTTGCTTCCGTGCACCCCTACACACCACCTACTTTCGAGTGTGCTTTTTCAGGCCACACTCAGCTGGCACCTTGCCAGGTATAGATACCCAGCAGGGTAGCTGCAATTCAGTTAGAAGGTGTTATATAGGTGTGTAAGAGGTATAGCAACATAGCATTTATACGGGCCCAGGGTAGCTACAATTCTGTTGCCAGGCGCGGACCCAGGGTAGGAAAATTGAAGTGCGAAACCGAGCAACAGAATTGTAGCTACCCTGGGTCCGTATAAATGCTATGTTGCTATAATTTGCTATACCTCTTACACACCTATAAAAGTTCAAAGCGCGAATGAGACTTCAAAGCTGTGGATTGCTGCACGTGTGTAAAGGTTATCGATGGTTATCGAGCGGCTGACGGAAAGGGAGCTTGAAGTACTATACCTGGTAACTGAATTGTGGCTACCGTGGGTATCTATACCTGGCAAGGCGCCAGCTACACCTTACCATTCAGATGATGCAAATGATGCAAATTGCATTTCCTGCATCACCACCCCCTCAAACATCACAAAAACTCAACCTCAAAAACCGTACTTCCGCGCACCCCTCTCCCCCACCTAATTTCGAGTTTACGTAGTACTTTCTCGGGCCACCCCCCCAGACCCCCGACTTACTCACTTCGTTCGCCAAACACAACTCAGCTGGCGCCTTCTACGAAGGCTGGCTTTCGTAACCTTCCATCCGTGCACCCTCCTCCCCCAGCATGTGCCGAGTCTACGTGTAGCTTTAAAAACTGGCCCCCGACGAGGGGCGTCAGGAACAACGATTTTGTCAACTCTGCCTCGGGGTGGCGACTCCAATGATCCAGTGATGTTGCACTTCAAGTTCCCTCTCCAGTCTCATCATATAGTGCTTTGAACTTATATAGGTGTGTCGGAAGTATAGCACAATAGCATTTTCACACGGACCCAAGGTAACTACAATTCAGTTGCATGGTATAGCACTTCAATTTCCCTTCCCCCAACCCTTGAGAAGCCATCCACATTCAGATGATGCAAAAGCAAAAAATGCATTTCTTGCATCACCACCCGCTCCAAAATCACCAAAACATCACCTCCAAAACAACCTCCAAAAATCTCCAAAACCTTCCATCCGTGCACCCTCCTCCCCCAGCATGTGCCGAGTTTACGTGTACCCCTCTCGAGCCACCCCCCCCCAGATCCCCTACCTACTCACTTCGTTCGCCAAGCACAAGTCAGCTGGCGCCTTCTACGAAGGCTGGCTTTCGTAACCTATAGGCTTTCATTGGGCACCCCTTAGAGGGTCCAGGTACTAACATCATTACAACTGTCCGCTCAAACCAAACCAACAGCGGCAACATGGATCCACCTGCCAATGCACCCTCCGGCTTCCCCCGCCGACCTCATCCGCGTGGCGCGGATCGATGGGACCGCGGAAGAGCACGTCACCTGGGAAGACGCGGTCGACGCGGTGGTCGGCGCGGTGGAGGTGGGAAGGTCCTCATTTGCCTAGGGTTCCCGTCGTACAGTCTGAGGTCCTCCAACTATACATCCCATGAACCTGACTTAATAACTTAAGGTGATCCCAATGTAGGCAACTATTCTGTTTATGAGATGCCCCCGAAGGAGCTCGGCGAAACATATGCCGGCTGCACCATCCGCTTGTCATAGCTTTGCTCCTACAACAAACTCAGGCCAACAAGAATCGAGGAGGTGGTTGTTACTGGAGATGTCAAGTTGGTACCATCCCAAGCCCAAGAGGGCGTCAGCGCTTCCCCCGGGCATACTCCAATCCCATGAAAGCGGTCATGGCCCACTCAGTGGCCTGCAGCAACGACAGCGCCAACGTATGAGCAAACCTCATTTTTTGAACCAATCTGACCCAAGATCTCCTTTCACAAGGCGGCAGAAGAAGACGCTTTTTTTCGGCACCCACTTCGGTGCTCGATTCACTCTGGAGGCGACAACATCTCGCGAAGGAGGCTCTTAGTAGACATAGCCAGAGCGCCTCTCTTACTGCCTCCGACATTACCTCTTTGGAACCAAGCCAGAAGCGCCTCTATGAGGCTGTTGTATGCCACTCCTGTGACCAGTTTTTCCCGGCCTTTCTGGGTGCCCTGAGGCCTTCGGTGAACAGTTCGAGATCGATCCAAATACCCATCTCGGCGTTCCAAGTGATGTTCCCCGAATGAACATCGTGGTTCCAGATCAAGCCCAATATACCTCTTCTGTCATTCACACAATGTCCACGAGCCACTTACGGACTTAATGATACTATCGAGCTTTGCTTACAAGTTTGTCCATCAGCGCTGTTCTCAATAGCAGTGCGACATTCAACCCCTTCCTCGCCGCCCCAGTGACTCATCCGTGCCAAGTCGTCCAGCAACACGAAGCGCTGCCTCGGTGCGGGAACGGCGAGGCTCGGCGGCGACCGGGCCGAGGCACCCGATCGACCCGACTGGATCCGCACCCGAAACAAAACAAGGGTGTGGTTCGGGGCCGGCCCCGGGTTCCCTTGTCAAACAGGCTTCGACCCCCTTCTTTCGGAGGGTCCGGACTCGGATCCTTAGGGTATTAGCCTTCTTGTTCCGTTCGCAGTGAGAATGCTCCGTTCGCAGCGATGCCAGGAGCCGCCTGCTTGTTCCTATATAGTATACCCTAGGGATCCAAGTACCTTCTCAGAAGGTGATTGGAGACTATTTATGTAGGCTTTGAGGGTCCAATTACCTTCTGAGAAGGTATGTGGATCCCTAGGGATAGTATAAGGCCAGCTAGGATCCCGTTCGTAGCTTCGGGAGGCGAGTTGGCAGCGACTTCTTCAAGCGCCGCGTTCGCAGTGGCGACGAGTGCCGGTTCGCGGTCGCACGTCGCGAAGGGTCAACAGATCAGTCGGTGGTGTTGGTTGATTGGGCTGTAGGAGCGACACACGCTTCTTGCAGCCTATGATTCAGGCTGCAAACAAAGGGGGTAAAGAAGAGACAGAGAGAGAGAGAGAGAGAGATAGGCAGGGGTTATAAAAAACTGGAGTCTCAAAGCACCTCGAAACATTGGACATAACCACACCCTTTTTATACCAGAGTTACTATAGGACCCTCAAAGAGGTCACCACCTGCGACTTTCTACATTTCAGCCTCCATTTTGGAGACCTGTAGAGTCGGGTGCTGGTAGGAATCAGAAGACCCCGGCAAGGCACGCACGTTCATCCGGGACATTTGACCAAATCGACACCCAGAGTCGACATGCCCCATGTTCCAAGGTTCTTGAAGGAGGGTCCAAGTAGAAAGGAACAGCTTCTCCGCAAGTCAAAGTACCCAACTGAGAATTGGGCTCCACCCAAGCAGTAACCCCACAGAGGCCATGTCGTAGCTTGGCTTCATGATGTTTCATGATTGCTCATAGACGACCCGGCTTTTCCCTGTTTCACGCCAACGGCCATCGATCACTTCAAGGCCCAAACCAGCGCACCCTCGTGGCAGTCGTGATGCGCGGGGCATCTGCAGACCGCTGCACCGGGAAGCGCAGAAGGAGAATCCCCAGATATACTATACCGTTTTGACTAGTGAGTATAATGGGACCCGAACTAGTGTACTATATCCCAAACACTCCATGGGACTGCCATATGACTGCCGATCAGGCCAAGGGTGGTGCCAGGGGGGTCTGTCTGGGGCGGCATATATTGGCAGTCCCATGGGTCGTGTCTGGGTATACTGGAAGAACAGAAAGGGCCAAAGGGCCTGTTGTGGGTACCTGGAGTCGACCTAATTGGTACCTCAGAGAATGGGTACAAGATGGTACACACAGCTGTTTCTTCTTGATGTCCGCGGTATACTTTGGATGGTCCGCGGTACGAAACTCTTACTATTCTCCGGTGTTCAGACTCCTTTTGGGGAGCAAGGTCGGCCTGAGTCCGGCTACACCAAGGTCGGGTGTCATCCCTGAGATGACCCCATCACTGTCGGACAAATTCATAGGCTCTACTGAACAACCATTGTTCTACTCAGGACTACAGCCTATGAATAGGATGTTTTACTATATATAATAGGCTGGAATTCATAGGCTGGTTTAGTTTTACTAAAGATTACAGCCTATTATAGCTCTTACGCGGTGGGAAGGGGGGGGATTCCCTTGCCAATCATGAACAAAAACAACAAGTCACCCGACACCGGACATCCGGAGATCAACAGCTTAAGCCCCGTCTTCGGAAGACGTGGAGATCGCTGGTTTGTCGGAAGGGCAGGGGTCTTTCCAGGCGGTCAGGCTCGGTGCCATTCACGAAAGGGCGGAGCGGCATGCCATGACCCTGACTAAGACTAAGGTCCACTTCACCTTCCGGCGTTTTTGCGTGCAACAATGAAAAAAAATCCGTGCACCCAGGGACTCAAAGACTCTGAGTGCCATCTTGACTCATCAGGCCAGGGTTCATTTGGGGAGTCTTTCTGGGGCGGCATATGTTCCAGTCCCATGGAATGTCTGGGATCAGTTTTTGGGCGGCACGATTACCAGGGAAGAGGTAGGATGAGGGAAGGGGTAGGATTTCCAGGTAGTATCAAGCCAGTGGCAAATTCATATCATTTGTGTAAGAGGCCGGGTAGCTTTTAGTAATTGAAACTCGCAATAATCAAGTATAATATGCCATGTCATCATGCTTCTATAAAACTTCGCATTGATTAATTCTGCCCTAGTGAAACAGGTTTGAACGCACTTGCTTTGAACAGGCTAATCGCTAGCAACTGAAGTCGCGTATGGTCACTAGACTGTCAAAAGCTAATGACTAAACTGTTGACAATTTTGTTCTTGAAGTAAAGGAAAGAAACAAAACCTAATGACTAAAAGAGTGGACTATATTTTTGGTGAAGTAAAGGAAGGAAACAACACCTAATGACTAAAACTAAGGACCAAAAAGTTTGGTGAAGGAAAGTAAGGAAACAAAACCTCGAGACTAAAGCTGTAGAAGAAACTTTGGGTGAAGGAAATTACTAAAAACTGTGAACAAAGTGTTTTGGTGAAGTAAAGGAAGGCAACAACACTTTATGACTAAAACTGTTGACAAATTTGTTTGGTGATGTAAAGGAAGGAAACAACACCCAATAACTAAAACTGCGGACAACATTTGTTGGTGAAGTAAAGGAAGTAAACAAAACTTAATGACTAAAACTGTGGAGCACAATTTTGGTGAAGGAAAGGAAAACAAAACCCAATGACTATTAAACCTGCAAATCAAAAGTTTTGGTGAAGGAAAGTAAGGAAGCAAAACTTAAGGACTGAAACTGTGGACAAACTCTTTTGGCGAAGCAAAGGAAGGAAACAAAGCCTGATGACAAAAACTGTGGAACAAAAGTTTTGGTGAAGGAAAGTAAGGAAGCAAGACCCAATGACTAAAACTGTAGAGCAAAAGTTTCGTGAAGCAAAGTAAAGAAACAAAAACTAATGACTAAAGTTGTGGACAAAGTTTTTTTGTGAAGTAGAAGAAGAAAACAACATTATAATGACTAAAACTGTCGACATTTTTTTGTAATGAGGAAAGAAACAAAACCTGATGACTAAAACAGTGGACAGAATCTTTTGGTGAAAGGCAGGAAGAAAACAAACCCAAATGACTAAGACTGTGGACCAAAATGTTTGGTGAAGGAAAGTAAGGAAACAAAAACTAATGACTATTAAAACTGTAGACTGTAGACCAAAAGTGTTGGTGAAGGAAAGTAAGGAAGCAAAACTTAATGACTAAAACTGTGGGCAAATTTTGTTTGATGAAGTAAAGGAAGGAAACAAAACTAAATGACTAAAACAGACAGTGGATCAATTTTGTTTGGTAGTTGAAGGTATGGAAACAAACTTAATGATTAAAACTGTGACTAAAAACGTGGACTAAAACAGGCCAAGGAGTTCCACAGCCTCCGGAATTCCCGTTTCCTTCAAGGACGCCAGGGCACCCGAACGCTGCGGAAGATGTTTTTTTTCAGTCAAAGTCTCCAAGAAGGCTTGCCGACGGGAAGTCAGGAAACTAAAAAATATTAAATTCAGCATGTCGTCCACCTTCTCCAACTTATGCATGACAAACAAGTCTGGTCTCAACAACAACTAAGCTGTTTAGCTTTGAGTGGCAATTTGCAA